GTAGCGGTTTTTGATACGGGCGACACAGGCGGTGAAACGCTGAAAATCGGAGACATAAAACCTACAAGGGGAAGAATCATCGGCGGGGTGTTAACTGTTTGCTGTTTTCGTGATCGCGTCACGCATGAGAATATCACCAGGTAAACTCGCGACATTTTAAAACATTTTGTTGTTCAACAGCAGCATGACTGACGGAGTTTGTTTGAGAAAACATCACAAGTGTCACAGATAACACATTTTTTTTGCTGGTTTGTCAGTAGCAGCTCCTGAAAAGCAAGTCTGCCACACATCTGTTCGACCAAATCCAGTTAATCTGTGACGCCAGTTAACCTGGAACACCGGCAGCAGCCAATTAGCGTCAGCTGCTAGCCCCACAAACAGTCAATTAAAAGTTCAAACTCACGAATTCCGTTCTGTTCAGTGCACGACAACACTACGGCTCAGGCTCAAAGTAATCGGTGTCTAAGTCGCATAAGGTTATAATTGGTATTAAAAATTCATTAAAACGAGGAAAGCAAGTGTTTGCCAATACAAACCTGTAACAACTCTGTCACCTGGCTGGCCTCCACACATCTGACGTAGTGATGTGTCAGTCGCGAATGAAATGGCTCTTAGAGCTGACTCTTTGGAGTGAACGACGCGATCCGGTGCGGTGTTTTTCTTTTCTTTCTCTCACCCTCTCTCTCGCACTTTTTTCCACCTCACTCCGCACGCGAGCCTTGTGCTTTGCACTGGGCAGAGGGGGGAGGGGCATATCCCAGCTGTCATAGGGCGAAAAGCGGGGTACACCCTGGACAGGTCGCCAGTCTGTCGCAGGGCTAACACATAGGGACAGACAACCATTCACACTCACATTCACTCGCACATTCACACCTAGTGGCAATTTTGGATTATCCAATTAACCTATCCCCACAAGCTGCATGTCTTTGGACGGTGGGAGGGAGCTGGAGTACCCGGAGAGAACCCACGCAGGCACGGGGAGAACATGCAAACTCCACACAGAAATGATGGTGGAATTGAACTCAGGACCTTCTTGCTGTGCAGCAACAGTGCTAACCACCGTGCCACCGTGCTGAAAATGTAAATAGTTAAAAGTTGAAATGTGAATAGTTGGTTTTTATTTATTTATTATTTATTACATTTTATGTGGAGTGAATAAATAAAAGTATATTTACGGTGGCCCTTAGAGGCAAAACACGTATAAACTCTGAATCACGTACAAACTCCAAAACACATACAAACTCAAAAGCACGTAAAAACACAGAATGACTTACAAACTCCAAAAACGTACAAACTCCAAAACACAACAGAAGTGCTCCAGAATGCTAGGCACAGTGTTGAGCTTTTGTTACACAAGCCAGCAAGTACCAACGACCGGATTTGGTGTGTGGTAGTAACAGATAATGCACATTCTTTTTTTAATTATTTAAATATATAAATACACAAACAATACACATATGCTTTCAATTGTGTAATTTGTATGATTTAGGTAGCTCTGTTTTGGGAAGGTCAGTTAAAGCTAGAAATGTGTTTTGAAGTTCATACATGCTTCGGAGTTTGTACGTGCTTTTTGATGCTTGTATGTGCTTTGGAGTTTGTACGTGCTTTGTCTCTAGGGCCACTGTATATATTTATATGTAAACATATAAATAAAACCACATTTTTTTACGTTAGTAATTTCTTTTGTGCATAAGTTTATATTGTTGTTGATAATAAATCAATTAAAGCAACAAAACAACCTGAAGAGCCAGTTGGGAGCCGAAAGAGCTGGTTCTCTAAAAAGAGCTGGAATTCCCATCACTACAGTAGATGTCTTCTGAAAGCGTTGTAACTAAGTTTAAGAATATAATCCACCCACTGTTATCATCTTCAATGCCCTGTACCAACACAGAGCAGAGCAGCTATCTGAACGCTACCCCAACAGAGGTCGATTATCTTGTTAATAATTTCACCTCCTCACTACGTACGACTCTGGATACTGTAGTTTCTGTGAAAACTAAGGTCTCTAATCAGAAGTACCTGACTCCATGGTATAATTCTCAAAAACGTAGCCTAAAGCAGATGACTCATAAGCTGGAGAGGAAATGGCGTGTCACAAATTTAGAGGATCATCATTTAGCCTGGAGAAATAGTTTGTTGCTTTATAAGAAAGCCCTCCGCAAAGCCAGAACATCTTACTATTCATCACTGATTGAAGTAAATAAGAACAACCCCAGGTTTCTCTTCAGCACTGTAGCCAGGCTGACACACGGTCAGAGCTCTTTTGAGCCAACCATCCCTTTAACGTTAACTAGTAATGACTTCATGAACTTCTTCACAAATAAAATTTTTATCATTAGAGAAAAAATTACCAATAATCATCCCACAGATGTAATATTATCTACAGCTACTCTTAGTACCATTGACGTTAAGTTAGACTCTTTTTCTCCAATTGATCTTTCTGAGTTAACTTCAATAATTACTTCCTCCAAACCATCAACGTGTCTTTTAGACCCCATTCCTACAAAACTGCTCAAAGAAGTCCTGACATTAATTAATGCTTCAATCTTAAATATGATCAACCTATCTCTAATGATTGGCTATGTACCACAGGCCTTCAAGCTGGCTGTAGTTAAACCTTTACTCAAAAAGCATCTCTAGACCCAGCAGTCTTAGCTAATTATAGGCCAATCTCCAACCTTCCTTTCATATCAAACATCCTTGAAAGAGTAGTTGTCAAACAGCTAACAGATCATCTGCAGAGGAATGGTTTATTTGAAGAGTTTCAGTCAGGTTTCAGAGCACAGCACAGAAACAGCTTTAGTGAAGGTTACAAATGATCGTTATATGGCCTCTGACAGTGGACTCATCTCTGTGCTTGTCCTGCTAGACCTTAGCGCAGCATTCGATACTGTTGACCATAATATCCTATTAGAGTGATTAGAACATGCTGTAGGTATTACAGGTGCTGCGCTGCAGTGGTTTGTATCATATCTATCTAATAGACTCCAATGTGTACATGTAAATGGAGAGTCCTCTTCACACACTGAGGTTAATTATGGAGTTCCACAGGGTTCAGTGCTAGGACCAATTCTGTTTACATTATACATGCTTCCCTTAGGCAGTATCATCAGAAGACATAGCATACATTTTCACTGCTATGCAGTTAAACTGCAGCAATGTCTTAAAAACATGAAGACCTGGATGGCCGCTAACCTTTTGCTTCTTAATTCAGATAAAGCTGAGGTTATTGTATTCGGCCCTGAAAACCGTATGGATATGTCCTTCAGTGCTAATATTAAACAAATATGTAAGACTGTTTTCTTCCATTTGCGCAACATCTCTAAAATTAGAGACATCATGTCTCAGAGTGATACTGAAAAACTAGTTCATGCATTTATCACTTCTAGGCTGGACTACTGTAAGTCATTGTTATTTATATATTATTATTTATATACCTAAAACCTCCCTGAAAAGCCTTCAGCTAATCCAAAATGCTGCAGCAAGAGTCCTGACAGGGACTAGAAAGAGAGAGCATATTTCTCCTGTTTTGGCTTCCCTTCATTGGCTTCCTGTTAAATCCAGAATTGAATTCAAAATCCTGCTCCTCACATACAATGTCTTAAATAATCAGGCCCCAACTTATCTTAATGACCTTGTAGTACCATATCACCCTATTAGAGCACTTCGCTCTCGCTCTGCAGGCCTACTTGTTGTTCCTAGAGTATTTAAAAGTAGAATGGGAGGCAGAGCCTTCAGTTTTCAGGCCCCTCTTCTGTGGAACCAGCTTCCAGTTTGGATTCGGGAGACAGACACTATCTTCAAGATTAGGCTTCAAACTTTCCTTTTTGCTAAAACATATAGTTAGGGCTGGACCAGGTGACCCTGAATCCTCCCTTAGTTATTCTGCAATAGACATAGCCTGCCGGGGAATTCCCATGATGCATTGAGTTTTTCTTTTTCAGTCACCTTTCTCACTCCGTATGTGTTAATAGACCTCTCTGCATTGAATCATATCTGTTATTAATCTCTGTCTCTCTTCCACAGCATGTCTTTATCCTGTCTTCCTTCTCTCACCCCAACCGGTCGCAGCAGAAGGCCCCGCCCCTCCCTGAGCCTGGTTCTGCCGGAGGTTTCTTCCTGTTAAAAGGGAGTTTCCCTTTCCACTGTCGCCAAAGTGCTTGCTCAAAGGGGGTCATGTTTTTTTTTTCTCTTTTTCTCTGTATGTATTATTGTAGGGTCTACCTTACAATATAAACCACATTGAGGGGACTGTTGTGATTTGGCGCTGTATAACTAAAATTGAATTCAACTGAATTGAACTGAATGTTTGTGTTTCAAACAGGAAAACCAGCAGAAATAAATGACAACATGCCAGAGTTCAGAGAGTTTCTGAGGTGCTCCAGAATCACCTCACCACTCTCTGCGTGTTTCCTTCCTGCTTAGAGTTCACTTTCACTTCCTGAACTTCATGGAGTGGAACTTATTGCTGGTGTGTGTGTTTGAAGATACTGTAAGTTTGCTTTGTTTCCTTCTTTAACAATTTGTATTTAGGAACTTTATTGTTTGTTCAGCTCATGTTTGATTTATTCACACAATAATATGTGTCTTTTTATTTCCGGTCTCCTACACCAAATTCAACAACCCAGGCAAGCAGAACCCAGCAGCCACTCGCACAAAGACGCCCCCACACCCACCAGAGTTTCCCCTATGCTCACGCTGCAGCAGCTTTGCGCTCACGCAGTTTATCTGCATGAGCAAACTTAATTTTGCTCATTCAGATCACTTTGGCTTTTGATGAAAGAAGCTTGTCAGTAACAGCAGTCACTGTGTATCAGTGAATGTATCATGTGTGCTTCATGGCTTCTTCTAGTGGACTGATAGCAGAAGTAGAGCAGCTGATTGCAGCTTCCTCTGCCTCACACTGCTGTCTGACTGCATTCAGCTGACACTGAGATGAAGCAGGAAAGAAGCAGCTGATATTTGGACAGCACACATGATGGAAATGATCATTTTAGTTGATGTGCACGCGAATTATTCGTGTTTCCTCTTCAGGTGAAGGTAGAAAGTGTGTGTGAGCTGATGTGGATGTGAATTCAGCAGCATGGATCTGTGTGAGGACAGAGAGGAGGGAGTCCCTCCCTCTAAAACCACTCAGAGGTGAGATGACCATCTCTAACTGTCCATGACTCTTCTCCATGTCACAGCTCAGCACTCACATCACTGCTCCATCATTATTCACAGGAACCAACCTGGGCTTGAACTTGGACCTGAACCCGAGCTTGAGCCTGAAACCAGCTGCGTGTGTTTACAGTGCAACTGCATGAAGTTTTTTATTTGTAGATTCACAAAAAGAAGACAGTTATCTAAGAAAAGGTAAGTTTGTGTCACTATTAAATTATCACTACACTTATTGGCAGTTTATATGCAGTGATATGGCTGTTCGATATGACCAAAATCTCATATCCCGATAACGATATATTCTGTGAATCTCGGGCAACTCGACTTGGGTGAAGTGTTTTCAGCTGGGTGTCATATATCTGGAGTTGAGTTTTTTGAAACTATTTATTTTTATACATGAGTTTTAACGGCTGCTATTTTCTTGCTGTGGGGAAAAGCCTGTTTTAATGTTTGAGTCTAAGGTTTACTTTGAGCACTTGACGGCTCTTTTTTGCTTCTCATCTCTAAATTCTCTCCATACTCTTTCATGTGATTGTTGTGTAGGCGGTAGAAGAAAAAAAACAACAATATTTCGCAACACCATGAAACAAACGATAGACATGAAACGATAGATGTTTTAATTCATCATCCGATATATTTCGTCATCGCGCATAGCTCCATGCAGTAAAGAGTTTTATGTTTTTTTTTCTTCTTTTTAGCGTCCATCAGGGACTTAGCACTGAACCCAGCTTTGTGTCCTTAAAGAGTGACTGGTGTGAAAGGTGCTCTAGTGGTTTTAAAAGACAAGAACTGTCTTCTGCAGAGAGGTAAGATGTTAGTAACATGTACTTTTTAACTGATTAACTGTTTATTGCTACCCTAAATATCCTATTTAAATTACAAACACATCAGTCTTATTTAGACATTTTCTTAAAATCCAGACTTTGTTTTTGAAAGAAATGAAATTCCTCTTCTGCTACTTAATAAAAAAAAAAAATCCCTCCAAGGTGTTCTAAATGTGCTTCAAAAAATAAAACCTTGAATTGGACTTTATTTTAAATACTGTACTGCCAACACAAGTTTGGGGTGTATATGGCTCATGCACTAAATGTTTGTCACAGTGTCTTCCATCATATTCATTAATTTAGGACAGTAACTTCATTTCTTGTGTAAAAAAGGATCAACTCGTGTTTTTTTTTTGTAGAAATATGATAAAAGAGAAGCAGAGGGAACCATCAGCCAAAACAGCATCAGCAGGTAGGATATTGCAAAACTATATGTCTTCAGAGCGGGAGTCAAAAGGAAATTTAATTTTGTATCCAGGAAGGGTCCTAGATAACCCCCCTAGATAATTAAGCCTACCACAGACATGATCAAGAGAGAGAAATATGAAGTCATACCGTGTGCTCCGGCATGGAAGGACAGGCGCCTGCATGGTATGATTTGTACCACCGGCAGATAGAGAAACTGGCCGTCCTACCAATGGCTGGACAAAGCTGGACTGAAAGAAAGCACAGAGGCACTAATCATGAACAAGAACAAGCTCTGAGTACAAGATCCATAGAGGCTGGGGTCTATCACCCGGCAAGACCCCAGGTGTAGGTTGTGTCAAGATGACCCTGAGAGAATCCAGAACATAACAGCAGGGCACAAGATGGTACCAGGCAGGGCATACATGGAACGCCATAAACAAGTGGCCAGCAGAGTATACAGAAACATCCGTGCCACATATGGCCTGGAAGTCCAGAGATCAAAATGGGAGATGCTCCCTAGGGTGGTGGAGAATGTCTGAGCTAAGATCCTGTGGGACTTCCCGATATACACGAACAAAATGATGATGGCTAATGTGGTCACAAATTTTAATTCCAACATGATAACCTTATTCCACCTACGATGTGGAGCTCCAAGTTTTTTGTTTGTTTGTTTGTTTTTTATAGATCCAATTTCAATCAGTTAAATCAGTAAAAAAGGACTTCTGGAAAAGAGCAGAATTCTTGGAACACTGTTTAATACACCAAATCGTATGGACAGCAATAAAATAAATACAGAAAACAGCAAGACAACAGATAGCAAAGCAAGCAAAGCAAACCCCGGGGTGTAGAGTCTTAGGCAAAGACAGCAGAGCCACACAGAGACAGACAGAAAAAAGCAGAGAACCGGAGTGTCCTCTGGCGCAGTATTATAGAGACCAGTAACCCGACCCGCTGGTGCTGAGCATCTTTCCACTTGTCTTCCAGCCAAAAACAGCAGGTGCAGGCTCAGGTACGGCCAGGGACAGAGTCAAGACTATGGCTAAGGGTCATCCGCAGATGGGTAACCTTGATTAACCCTTTGCTTTGGCTTATCAAAATAGGTCACGGCACATTCAAAAGTTAACACAGCAAGGGGCATAATCTTATGATATACATGTGAATACTTGGACTAAATATCAAATATATTGGGTAAATGCTTTAACATACTGATAAATACCCCAGTGTAGTTTTATAGTGTGTGTGTATACATGATTATATAATCCTTAAGGAGATTTTATTGTATTGTGTTCATTACTGACTGTAGACAGATGATAGTTTTGCTACATCAGAGCAAAATATCTTATGTTTATTGCAGATGTGTGGTACAGACATCACTCAAAAATTCCACTACACTAACCAACCAGATATAGTGGTACTAGACAAGCAGAACAAGAGGGCCGTAGTCATAGATGTAGCGATACCGAATGACAGCAACATCAGGAATAAGGAACATTAGAAGCTGGAGGAGTACCAAGGGCTCAGAGAAGAGCTCCTGGAGATGTGGAGGGTGAGGGTAACAGTGGTCCCAGTGGTAATCTGAGCACTAGGTGCAGTGACTCCCCAGCTAGGAGAGTGGCTCCAGCAGATCACAGGAAAAAAATTGGAGATGTCTTTCGAGAAGAGCGCAGTCCTAGGAACAGTTAAGATACTGCACAGGACCCTCAAGCTCCCAGCCCTGTGGTAGAGGACCTGAGCTTCAAGGTCTAGACCACCCACATGGGCAAATGGGGAATTTTTAATGTCTCTGTTGCATCATGTCTTAATTATTCTTTGGCACTGATTATTAAAAGAGTGAGTGAGATGTACATTTATAGCTCTTTCTTGTTCCTGTAGAGGAGGAGCTTGCCAGGGTACGGACAACCTTTGTGTGGAGGGTCTCACCAGAAATTCTTATACAGCTGCTTGAGGCCCTTGTAACAGAAAGTGTCTTCAATGATCTGGAGAAAGAATCGATATTGGAGGGGAACCCTGTTAGAGCTGATAAGGCACGTTGCTTTATTGACACAGTGAGGAAAAAAGGAGACAAAGCATGCAAGATAATGATCAGACACCTTCAGACCATAGATCCTTCTCTCTTCTTTCAACTGCATTTATACTCTGATCCATCTGCTCTGCAAGGTAAGTTCATTTATCTCTAAATGAATGGTCACCTTTCAGCTTGTTGAGGTATAAAAGTGTGAAACCTCAGAATTAATTGTAAGAAACCTAATTCTATAACATATGTTTGGATTTGTTGAAAGGCTGCAAAATATTTTCCAGAGGACATGGAGGTATTTTGATGATTATTATAAACCTATGAAACTACTTAGAAGATCAAATGTGAGCAGCATTTAAATAAACGCCAGTCTTCTTCACTTGGTAAAACCATGGAAACTGATTGCTTTAAAAAAAATGAACATATCATAAGTAAAGTATGTTAGGATTGGGTACATACGAAAAGCTGTAAAGTAATTCATTATTTTGTGGGTTTAATGTTTTCAGGAATTATATTTAGGAAATCCCGGAGCCCTTTTTGATGAATTTTGGGTAGAATGAGCATGAAAAAATATAATGAATATAATAAGCAGCAGGCAAAGTTCTTCACATAGCACCCCCAGACCAGGTTTGACTGGATATGTTTTTTTCCTTTTTTAATGTTTTTTTTATTCAGATAGTCTTCAGAATTGTCAGCCTAAACTTAAGTCCAACCTGAAGAAGAAGTTCCAGTGTGTGTTTGAGGGGATCGCTAAAGCAGGAAACCCAACCCTCCTGAATCAGATCTACACAGAGCTCTACATCACAGAGGGAGGGACTGCAGAGGTCAATAATGAACATGAGGTCAGACAGATTGAAACAGCAAACAGGACACCAGACAAACCAGAAACAACAATCAGACAAGAGGACATCTTTAAAGACTCACTTGAAAAACAGGAACTAATCAGAACAGTGCTGACAAAGGGAGTGGCTGGCATTGGGAAAACAGTCTTAACACAGAAATACACCCTGGACTGGGCTGAAGACAAAGCCAACCAGGACATCCAGTTCATATTTCCATTCACTTTCAGAGAGCTGAATGTGCTGAAAGAGGAAAAGTTCAGCTTGGTGGGACTTGTTCATCACTTCTTTACTGAAACCAAAAAAGCAGGAATCTGCAGCTTTGAAGACTTCCAGGTTGTGTTCATCTTTGATGGTCTGGATGAGTGTCGCCCTCCCCTGGACTTCCACAACACTGAGAGTGTGACTGATGTTACAGTGCCCACTGCAGTTAATGTACTTCTCACAAACCTGATCAGGGGGAAACTGCTTCCCTCTGCTCATATCTGGGTAACCACACGACCTGCAGCAGCCAATCAGATCCCCCCTAAGTATGTTCACAGAGTGACAGAGGTCAGAGGGTTCACTGACCCACAGAAGGAGCAGTACTTCAAGAAGAGATTCAAAGATGAGGATCAGGCCAGCAGGATCATCTCCCACATCAAGACATCACGAAGCCTCCACATCATGTGCCACATCCCAGTCTTCTCCTGGATCACTGCTACAGTTTTGGAGGATGTGCTGAAAACCAGAGCGGGAGGACAGCTGCCCAAGACCCTGACTGAGATGTACATCCACTTCCTCGTGGTTCAGGCCAAAGTGAATAAGGTCAAGTATGACGGAGGAGCTGAGACAGATCCACACTGGAGTCCAGAGAGCAGGAAGATGATTGAATCTCTGGGAAAACTGGCTTTTGATCAGCTGCAGAAAGGAAACCTGATCTTCTATGAATCAGACCTGTCAGAGTGTGGCATCGATATCAGAGCAGCCTCAGTGTACTCAGGAGTGTTCACACAGATCTTTAAAGAGGAGAGAGGACTGTACCAGAACAAGGTGTTCTGCTTCATCCATCTGAGTGTTCAGGAGTTTCTAGCTGCTCTTCATGTCCATCTGACCTTCATCAAGTCTGGACTCAATCTGCTGGAAGAACGACAAATAATCTTCAAGTCTCAAATAACAGAATCTGCAGAGAAACACTTCTACCAGAGTGCTGTTAATGAGGCCTTACAGAGTCCTAATGGACACCTGGACTTGTTGCTCCGCTTCCTCCTGGGATTTTCACTGCAGCCCAATCAGACTCTGCTACGAGGCCTGCTGAAACAGAAAGGAAGTAGCTTACAGACTAATCAGGACACTGCACTGTACATCAAGGAGAAAATCACTGAGAATCTGCCTGTAGAGAAAAGCATCAATCTGTTCCACTGTCTGAATGAACTGAATGATCATTCTCTAGTGGAGGAGATCCAACAATCCCTGAGATCAGGAAGTCTCTCCACAGATAAACTGTCTCCTGCTCAGTGGTCAGCTCTGGTCTTCATCTTACTGTCATCAGAAAAAGATCTGAATGTGTTTGACCTGAAGAAATACTCTGCTTCAGAGGAGGCTCTTCTGAGGCTGCTGCCAGTGGCCAAAGCCTCCAACAAAGCTCTGTGAGTACGTTTGTACTCATTTCTATTTTTACATAAACATTGTAATGATTTCGGCCCCCTTTAAAAAATATGTTCAAGGTTCTTTATTTGGCACATGCATAGTTATATAACACACAGTGAAATGTAGCCTGACACGCTCCTCGACATGTGCAAAAATGTGTGTGTGTGTGTGTGTGTGTGTGTGTGGGGGGGGGGGGGGTAGAGGAAGAACACTGAACACTATATATATATATATATATATATATATATATATATATATATGTATATACAGTGCAGTGGGGCAAAAAAGTATTTAGTCAGCCACCGATTGTGCAAGTTCCCCCACTTAAAATGATGACAGAGGTCAGTAATTTGCACCAGAGGTACACTTCAACTGTGAGAGACAGAATGTGAAAAAAAAAATCCATGAATCCACATGGTAGGATTTGTAAAGAATTTATTCGTAAATCAGGGTGGAAAATAAGATTTGGTCAATAACAAAAATACAACTCAATACTTTGTAATATAACCTTTGTTGGCAATAACAGAGGTCAAACGTTTACTATAGGTCTTTACCAGGTTTGCACACACAGTAGCTGGTATTTTGGCCCATTCCTCCATGCAGATCTTCTCGAGAGCAGTGATGTTTTGGGGCTGTCGCTGAGCAACACGGACTTTCAACTCCCGCCACAGATTTTCTATGGGGTTGAGGTCTGGAGACTGGCTAGGCCACTCCAGGACTTTCAAATGCTTCTTACGGAGCCACTCCTTTGTTGCCCGGGCGGTGTGTTTTGGATCATTGTCATGTTGGAAGACCCAGCCTCGTTTCATCTTCAAAGTTCTCACTGATGGAAGGAGGTTTTGGCTCAAAATCTCACGATACATGGCCCCATTCATTCTGTCCTTAACACGGATCAGTCGTCCTGTCCCCTTGGCAGAAAAACAGCCCCATAGCATGATGTTTCCACCCCCATGCTTCACAGTAGGTATAGTGCTCTTGGGATGCAACTCAGTATTCTTCTTCCTCCAAACACGACGAGTTGAGTTTATACCAAAAAGTTCTACTTTGGTTTCATCTGACCACATGACATTCTCCCAATCCTCTGCTGTATCATCCATGTGCTCTCTGGCAAACTTCAGACGGGCCTGGACATGCACTGGCTTCAGCAGCGGAACACGTCTGGCACTGCGGGATTTGATTCCCTGCCGTTGTAGTGTGTTACTGATGGTGACCTTTGTTACTTTGGTCCCAGCTCTCTGCAGGTCATTCACCAGGTCCCCCCGTGTGGTTCTGGGATCTTTGCTCACCGTTCTCATGATCATTTTGACCCCACGGGATGAGATCTTGCGTGGAGCCCCAGATCGAGGGAGATTATCAGTGGTCTTGTATGTCTTCCATTTTCTGATGATTGCTCCCACAGTTGATTTTTTCACACCAAGCTGCTTGCCTATTGTAGATTCACTCTTCCCAGTCTGGTGCAGGTCTACAATACTTTTCCTGGTGTCCTTCGAAAGCTCTTTGGTCTTGGCCATGGCGGAGTTTGGAGTCTGACTGTTTGAGGCTGTGGACAGGTGTCTTTTATACAGATGATGAGTTCAAACAGGTGCCATTCATACAGGCAACGAGTGGGGGACAGAAAAGCTTCTTACAGAAGACGTTACAGGTCTGTGAGAGCCAGAGATTTTCCTTGTTTGAGGTGACCAAATACTTATTTTCCACCCTAATTTATGAATAAATTCTTTACAAATCCTACCATGTGAATTCATGGATTTTTTTTTCACATTCTGTCTCTCACAGTTGAAGTGTACCTCTGGTGCAAATTACTGACCTCTGTCATCATTTTAAGTGGGGGAACTTGCACAATCGGTGGCTGACTAAATACTTTTTTGCCCCACTGTATATATATATATATATATTAGTATATACATTGGGTGAGTGTGCAGTAGTAGCAGCAAGCAGGTGAATTCTTTACATTAAAATGAATAGACATCTGACTATTTTACAGGATAGACAATATAAACATATTTAAAATTAAAGGAATTTGAAATGTACATTGTGCCTTGGTTTAGAGTGTCTGGAAGAGAGTCCTGTCTCAGTCAGTTATAGATGATGTGAGAGGGCGGGTGTGTGTTTTTAGGGCCCAGATGGCTTGGGGATAGAAGCTCCTCTTGAGTCTCTCTGTCCTTGCCCGGAAGATGCGGAACCTTCTACCAGATTGCAGAAGTTGGAACAGTTTGTTGCCAGGATGGGACGGGTCCTTCAATATCTGCGCTGCTCTAGTCCGGCATCTCCTGGTGTAGGTGTCCTGAAGCGGGGGGGGGGGGGGAGCAATCCTGCAGCAGCGTTCTGCTGTACGGATCACTCTCTGGAGAGCTTTTTGGTCCTTTACACAGCTGTTCCCGAACCACGATGTCATGTTCTGTGTGAGGATGCTTTCCACAGCGCCTGTATAGAAAATCCTGAGGATCTTTGGAGAGACCCTGAACTTCCTCAGTTGTCGTAGGTGATACAGGCGCAGCCTAGCCTGTATATAATGGATATAAACCGCAGCACTGTGGCGGGACGTCATCTGTGATGCCACTGCAGGTGTTATGGATGCACCTGCGCAGCATGTACAAGAAGAAAGAAAGAGTACTTTATTGGTCCCCGTGGGGAAAATTGCTCTCTGCATTTAACCCATTCACTCAGTGAAGCAGTGGGCAGCCATTGGGCGCCCGGGGAGCAGTGTGTAGGGACGGTACCTTGCTCAGGGGTACCTCAGGGTAGCTGTTCAGGGGAATCGAACCCCCGACCTTCCGATCATGGGGCCACCACTCTACCTACTGAGCTATCCCTGCCCCCAACATCTCGGTGGCATAAAAAGCTGTTCCTCCCTTTGATTGCGTTCTTGTTGTTGTGTACGTGTGGCTGGCAGGAAGAGAGCTGCAGCCGAGAAGTCATCCAAGCAAGCATCCTTGTGTGTAAATAGCTTGTGTAAATAAAGCATGGTGCAAAGCATGGAAATGTCAGTGGGTCTGTTGTGGTATACGACAGACCCACTGATATACTCAGTCAGGTGTATCATACCTTTAATGTGTCACAGCAGCAGAAAGTATTAGGATTTCTGAGACATTTGTATATGCAGTTGTTATCAAAGTACAGATCCACTTTGGGTAGGTTTTAAACTATGACACATCATTTACATTGCTGAAATCAACACTGAACTGTATAGACCTGTGTCTGTGAAGGTTCTCAGTCATCCAGGTCATCGTAGACTAAGGAGCTTGCAAAGAAAAGTGTCTGGACTTCTTTGAGTTGCTTGAAGACTTTTCACCTCTCATTCAAGAAGCTTCCTCAGTTATAAGGGTCAATTGGTGGGGAGTCCCAGATTTAAACCCACTGGGAGTTTTCCCCCAAAGGGGGACAAAGGACCCCCTGATGATCCTCTACCTAATCACATGAGCCAATTTGTGAAAGTGGGTGTGGGACCTAATCAGCCAGGGTTTTGGGTGAGCTCACTGTGAAACCTGGCCCCACCCTATCATGTGATTTCCTGAGGTCAGATGGCTGAGTAAGTAAATTCTCTCGTGACAACCTTCTCAAACTGTATATCTTGACTCTCAGGTCCAGAATTTGCACTGCACTTTTCTACCAAACAGAATCTCAAAGGGAGAAAATGCAGTGGAGGCCTGCGGCACCTCATGTCCTGCAAAAAACAAAGGGTCCAACCAGTGATTCAAATTGCGTTCATCCTCATGAATGAACTTACAAATCAAACTTACAATCAATTTTAATCAACTTTTCTTTGCAAACTCCTTTGACAATCAACTTTAAAGTTTTTTTTTAAGCTGCCCCACGAGTCTGGGGGTGGTAGACGCTGGTCTGAACAGATTAATGCCCAGCCATTTGTAAGACACACACCATTGGCGCTCAGCTATACAGATGTCCAATCATTCACTAGCTGGGCCAGCATCCTCATTTTAGGTTTTGATAGCGTTTTAGTTGGTAAAGCTCAGACAGAATTGAGCTGCGGCTTGGGGAAAGCCTCGAAGGAGACTGGTGGCTGCTCCCGGTCCTGGCAGATCCCCAAAGAAGGCATTCCCTAGGGCAGTAAAAACTCTGCATTATGAAGGTTAAAGACCTTTGATGTAATTCAGTTTTCAGTGACAGATGCTTTAAGACACTACGATAATATCTAGAGGAAAAACCCAACAATCGTATAACCACCTATAAACAAGCACTTTGGCGACAATTTACTTTGGGTAAGGTAGCGATAACTATCGTGCCGATTTCTGAAATGAACAGAAGTGATGGTAAGCAGCTTTGGAAGAAGCTGGCATCCCGGTGCCAAAGCTTGCAGCTGTATTTGCATAGGACAGATAGAGGAAGAGAAACTGGCATCCTGGTTCCAAAAGCATGCTGCTGCATTTTGCCAATGGGGGATACAGGAAAGGGAAACTGGCGACTCATTCATAGAAAAGTTTGCTGCTATGATTGTTACAGTTACCGTTTAAAAAGGTGACATTTAGAATACAGTTACTTTGTTGAAATAAATGGATTACACGGCGGTACTTCCCTGTTTCATTTTGTCGCGGGTCAGGACTGTTTGGGTTTTGTTTGACAGCTATGTTCTGTTGTTCCAGGCGGCAGCGTTACGGTTGCCATGGTTACAGGGTGACGCTCTCTCTCTCTCTCTCTCTCTCTCTCTCTCTCTCTGCGTGTTTCCTGGGTGAGAGAGCGCTTTTTTGTTGTTGTTGTGCTAAGCTAAAAGGCAGAATGCTACATGCATAGCTCTAAAGAATGTAGCTTCATAGGCAGTGTAGTCCGTGCTGCAGGGAAAATGGACTGCCATACCCGTTTTGTGTCTGTGAGCGAGGGAGGGAGAAAAAGGAAAAGTACGAGTTGTCACCGAGCAAAAACGGGAGCTGGAAGCATGTAAATACACTCAACAAAAATATAAACGCAACACCTTTGTTACTGCTCCCATTCCCCATGGGATGGACGTAGAGACCTAAAATTCATTCCAGATACACAATATAACCATC